CAAACCAAGAGGACCAAGTAAGGGAGGCTGCTCCAGGAGCAGTCACAAAAGTACCACCTTACTATGGAAACTTTGAGTCCCCAGGATGGGCTAAGGCTCTCAAGACCACGGGAAGGGATTGCCAAAGACCAACAGGCAGAGAAAAGGCAGCCAGAAAGGATGAGCTTACCTAGAGGGGCATTAACTGGTCTAAATAATGCTATGAGAAACTTCCAAGACCTTTGCCCTTTGTGACTCACAGAGTCACACAGCATTCTCCAAGAAAGGAAGATGCTGGGAGGAGAAACCCATGACTGCTAGAGCAAAAAAGGAATTCTTTTGTGAATCTCACGCTCGGGCTAGATAACCCACCCCACGAGCAGGCACAGCTCGGGGAGCCCCGACTGGCCTTTCCCACTCACCAGGACTGGCCGCATCTCACAGAAAACCAGGAGGGAAGCAAGCTCGATGTCCTCGCTGTACCCGTTCTTCAGAGGAACAGACCGAAATCCTGCAGCAGAAGCGGGGGAGAAAACACAATGGCGTGTAATTGATGTGTCAGACCTTACATTTCTTGGGATACCCAGGGATCACAGGCCCAGTTCAAGGAGTAGAGAAGTCTGGGTCCCAGGCTGGTCTCTGACTTTCTGGAAGTCCGAGGTCCCCATCCTGATGGCTGGGCAGAGTGGCCAGCAGCCTTGACTGACAGGTCCGTACAGGGAAGGAAGGTTAAAAATATCTCCCATCTAGAAATAAAAGTGATTCACTCAGAAGACATTAAAACCCAAAGAACATTCCACATTGAGAATTTAAAGTGATTGCAGCTGTGGTTCAATTCCTTAAATACTCCTGAGGCTGAAAGACTCAAAGGAGTCGTGAATCCTCACGTCCATTTCCTCCACTCAGGTCTTCACAAAGCACAGCACCAGGGAGTGTGTTTTCTCTTTAAAGATTTCCAATGGGAAGAAATCTTCCTGTCCCTCGGCAGTTCGCAGAGCTATTGATCATCCTCTTCTGAGAGCCATTCCCTATTTACAATCCAGACCCGTGTCTGACAGCCACTTAAATGTTTTATTTGGGGTTGAGGGGGGGGGCAAGCTGGAGCTGAATCTTCCCCTCCCCCATCAAGTCACGGGGAAGGGAATACATCTCAAAAGTGTGCTTGGATTTAGTATAAAAGAACAGAACTCTCCCAAGCATTCTCCGTATCCCCAAGGGAACCACTGATAACAGTATCTTTCTCAAGGTCAGCTACGCATCTCTTTGAGTTTCTTTTCAGTCGCAAATGAGAGTACCCTATACCACACCAGTCCTCAACCTCTTTGGCACCGTGGAAGACAATTGATGGTTTCGGGATGATTCACGTGCATTATATTTATTATGCAGCCAACCCTCTCTGCTAATGATAATCTGTACTTGCAGCCGCTCCCCAGCACTAGCATCACCGCCTCAGCTCCACCTGGGATCATCAGGCATTCGATCCTCAGGAGGAGCCCAACCTGGATCCCTGGCATGTGCAGTTTACAGTAGAGTTCTTGGTCCTCTGAGAATCTAATGCTGCCACTGATCTGACAGGAGGTGGAGCTTTTGCGGTGATGGAAGCCATGGGGAGCGGCTGTCAATACTGATGAAGCTTTGTGCTCCTGCTGTGTGGCCCAGCTCCCAACAGGCCATAGACCTGTACCAGTCCCCTGCCTGGGGGGTTGGGGACTGCAGCCTTACCGTTCCCATTTGACATCGTATCTCAGAGATCCCTTCTGTGGCCCTAGTTTGTCTTGAAAGTATTTACCTTCTATCTACCGATTCTCCAAGACCCGCAGTGACCATACTGGGGCACTCCCACTCTTTGCGCCTTCCACCTGTCAGGTTTCGGCTGATTTCTCTGAGCGAACATTTTACACCCTCAGGTGATTTATCACCTTTAAACAATAGCTATTGACTATCCTGCTCTCCACTGCTCAGGATGGGGGAAGTAGCAGCTTACACAGCCCTGCACCTTCTCTCCTTTTCTTCTCCTAAGTTACTATTCCTATAAGGACACAGTGTGTGTTTGCATTCTATCTTGTAAGCATTATTCTCCCACAAAGGGAGGCTTAGTTAGATTATTCTGACTTTTTAATGCAAATTTTTAAACATACAGCAAAGCGAAAAGAATAGTACAGGGAAACTTTGTACACCTGCCACCTAGATTCTGCTGTTAACCATTTACTATACAGTTGCCCCTCAGGATCCGGGGGGACTGGTTCCAGGACGTCCTCAGCATACCCAAATCTATGATACTCAAGTCCCTCACAGAAGGTGGCATAGTATTTGCATATAACCTACACACATCCTCCTTTATATACTCTAAATCATCTGTATATTACTGTATTACCTAATGCAACATAAATGCTATGTAAATAGTTGTAATACTGTATCATTTTCAGTATAAGAAAAAAGTTTGTACATGTTCAATACAGATGTAATTTAAAAAAATATATCTTCAATCCAGGTTGGCTGAATCCACAGACGTAGAACCCACAGCTATGCGGGGCCCAACTGTACTCATTTTATCATGTATTTATCCACCCATCAATCCATCTTCTTTATATATATCATCGATACACTTTCCCCAGCATGCAGATCTCACTAACCAGAGCTCAGTATTCAAGTTCCTATTCTGATATAAAATTTACACACACTAAAATGCACTAATTTGTATTTTTAAATGGCTAGGTGCTTCCTGAACTTCTATGTGGATGTCTTGGTGAGCTAAATTTGTCCTCTTTTGTTTTCTTCAAAATGAGCTCAAGGGACGTGTAATTGCTGAACTGTGCATGTTTGAAAACATCCATCCTTTGATTTTATAGTTGAGTGACAGTTTTAGTATAAAACCTGAGAGTTTTATACCCACTCTTTTCCCTGTAGGATTCTGGGGACATTGTTCGCATTGAATACTGCTATACTGACCTATTTCCCTCTTACAGGCAATGTGATGATGTTGGTTTGTTTTTTGCCTGGATAGATAGCCACAGAATTCTTGCAGTCTAGCCTAGTGATACCCCACTTTGAGAGTAAATGTGAATCACTGTGAAACTCGTTAAAATGCAGATTCTGACTTGGGAGCTCCGGGGCGGGGCCTGAGAATCTGAGGCTCTAATGAGCTGATCTGTGGACAGTGTTAGTCTGGGTGCTGATTGGCTGTTCAGATGAACTGGAAGGCTGTGTGCTCTGTACCGTCTGGTGAGGCTGGCAGGGGGCCCATGTATCCCAATTGCGTGGTTCCAGGCAAGCCAATGCTGTCTGCTCTAGGCATGTGACTCTGAATTTGGAGACAAGGAGCTCTAGCACCCCATGGCCAGCTATCTCCAGCTTCTTACACCTCCTCTCACTGCCCAAGTTTCATTTTTATGCACTGGGCAGCCTTTCATGGAGGGGGCTCAATGGTGTTTCCCAATTTTACCAATAGAAATGGGATTTTTTTTCCTTTTTTGTTTTTGGTCATTTCACTAGGGAAAGGGAAATAGAAACACATTTTAAAGTAAGATGAGTATTCAGGCCTTTAGAATCAGGAAAGCAGCCTGCAGAGTAGGAACTCGGGGTTTGAAGTTAGACATTCCTGGGTTTGTATTCCCAGCACCGGTCCTACAGGCGCGTGACCTTGAGCAAGTGAATTCGCATCTCGAGGCCTCAGAGTGGTCAGATTTTAAAAGCAGAGATGATAAAACCCCTTTCACAGGATTACGGTGAGGATTTAAAAAGAATGAATTTAAGGTACCTAACATAGTAAGTGCTGTTTCTTCCCTTCCTGAGCTCCAGCTGGCTTAAAAGCTTAAGTGCGTCCCTAATGACAGCGGGCAGAGTTTATTTCTCTGAGTTCAGAGACCCTCGCTGCCTTATGCACAAAGGAATTTGTTCATTTTATTTCATTCCTCCCATGAATATGCATTTGCCAGGCACTGCCGGGAGAGAGAAGGTCCCTGCTGAGAGTGGCTCACAGCGGAGGTGTCAGGGTCATCCTTGAGGTTCTGTTTTGTTTTTTCAAATTGGCAAGCCCAGTCAGTGCGTTTTCTAGATGAACTGACACGCTCTGCCAGCAAGGTAAGAGGTGGTGTCATCCACTCTGACCTCTCTCCAACGCCTTAGAGGTTACGAGCCTTGTGCCCATCATCCTTGAGGAGGGCAGCAGGTACCTGGGGGGCAGGTTGGGTCTGGTGGAGGCAGGTTAGGGGTGGGCAGGCAGAACTGCCATAGAAAGGACTCCATCATGGCATCAAGGCCAGGATCAGAAAGATTTACCAAAAACTACACTTCCTGTAGCAGCAGTGGATATCACTCAAAGCCTTAGTTATTAGGCTATTAAAGAATCATAGTCTAATTGCTGGGTTTAACGTACTTTACAGTGTGGGCAAGTTAACCAAGAGGGTTGCCAAATATCAGGCCTCTTACAAATAAATACCCATTACTGTTAAATTATAAAAATGAATATTTCTAAAGTGCTATGCAAGGGCCCTCTGAGCAGCTGGCAACACATGCAAATTCCTGGGCCCCACCCTAGACTGGAGTGGAGCCCCCTCCCCCACCATGGGGGGCCCAGGAAACCTGGATTTTCTAATTGCAACCTCCAACATGCCTGCTGCTCAAAAATTAGGCCAACAGAAGAAATGTCTGAGATGTTCCAAATTAAAAAAAAAAAAAAAAAATCTAGTTCAGGTCTTTTTAGTTTTTCATTGAATCCAAACTTTCCAAGTAGACTTTTTTTTTTTTTTTTTAAGACACGTTGCCTGGGCTGGAGTGCTGTGTCGTCATCATAGTCACTGCAGCCTTAAACTCCTGGGATCCTCCTGCCCCAACCTCCTGAGTAGCTGAGACAACAGGTATGCACTGTCGTGCCCAGATACTATTTTATTTTTTTGCAGAGATAGGGTCTTGCTCAGTCTGGTCCCAAACTCCTGGCCTCAAGTGATCCTCCCACCTTGGCCTCTCAAAGTGCTGGCCTTACGGGCACGAGCCACCACACCTGGCCAAAAGACTGATGACGATAATCTTTCTCTTGAAAAATGATCCTTAGAAAACAAGGGAACAGTGACCTCCTGAGGAACCCAGAAGTATCTATTCTCTTATGTCTCATGCATCAGAAATAC